TTCTGCATTTGGCCAGCTCTTCAGCTTTCATACTGTTCTCTATAGTAAACTATCCTCCCATGTGACCAGTGAACTGTCTGTGAGTTAAAAATCAATTTCTGAAAAATGTTATTCAAAATGTTTGCCAAATTCTGAGCCTAAACAAAGTCCTGTCTATTCATTTCTTGTGAAGTAGCAAGTATGTGCCACCTGATGTTCTTGGCTCTTACCAGCTATGTCCAGAACCTCAACAAAAACTTAAAGGCAGTTTTTGAATTTTTCCTCAATTTGGTTATCTTTCTGAATTACAAATTGCATTCTGTTACCTTAATATAAAAACTGTACCTTCATTTCAAAAACTTGATATGTTAGGATGGTATCTCCATCAATTTAACTCAGTAGACCAGAAGATCTTTAATGCACTCATGCCTTCTTTAAAGAAGAGAGCATCACACCAGAGGTATGAAAATTACTTACTTTCCCTAAATTCATGCCTCTTCCCTCCTGTGCAAACTCACTGACTGATTCATATGTACATGTAAAACTCTTTGCAGCTCAGGGTAATGCCCACCTCAGCATGAGAAGAGATTCTTCTTTAAAAAGTACAACCATCATGTGTAAAGACTCCAGCACATGATCGCTGGTACGCACGTAATGATTTGCCTCAGAGGGTGTGCTTATTGCATGGGATTTAATTTAATTTGTCCTCATTCGAATAATTTTGTGTACAAGCAAGGGAATGGGGTACAGATTACATGTGTTCTCAATAGAGTTTGGAGCACTGTTATTTATTACAAATAATTCATCTGGATACTAATTTCTTATCTTTCCATATTAAAAGAGGTAAATCTATACAGATACTTATATGAAACTAAATAAGAGTTTCCATCCAGGCTACAATATGACTATGTATGCACTGGTTTCTGGTGGACTGAGCTACAAAACATAGGTATTATTATGAAAATCAAGTGACATTTTCTTTTGCCCCCTTCTACTTCACACAGTGCATACCTATAGGGTCAGCACCTTCCTTCATTCTTTTGTTACCATCTTCCTCTCTCTTTCTTGTTTGTTTTTGCAACCTCATTTATAAAGGTGGAGTTGGCTTTTGCAGCCATAAAGACTAAGTTCTCTATTAAGTACAGCAATTAAAAAAAAATTGAATGTGGGCTCTGTTCAGTTTCAGAAAGTCAGGATATATTTTCAGCCCTGAATTCACACCTATTCACACTTAACCCAGGAACTACATTATCTGGGGCAATTCCATACAATGAGAGCGCAGTTCCCTGTAGCATGGCTCTACTTCCAGTATTTTGCTATGAATTTTCTTTTTACTTTGTTTTTCAGTTTTGTTACTTAAAATATACTCTGTCACCATTTTCTAATAACATTATCTCAAGGTTTAGCCAAATACACACTGAATAAAACAGAAGTGAACCAGTGAATTCCTCCCACTATGATATAATATTGCCCACTCTGAGCAATTAAAGTTTCCACTTGAGGAAGACTTAATCATAGAAGTCTTTCTTTTCCTCATCCCAGCTTCATATTGTCAGTATTATACTAAAATCTGTACAGACAAAAAAACCTATACCTTGCCTGTCTGTACTGCGCTGAAAACCTGATCATCTTCTTGTTTCCTTGCCTCGAGCCACTTACACTCTCAAGCTGCAGTCTTCCTCTGCCACCTACCTCCCTCTGTCTGAAGTATTATCTACAAAAGTGGAAAGAAAGATACTTCTAAATTTAAAACATTTGTGGGAATTAAAGCCTTCATATAAAGCAACCATTTTTTTTCCCAAAAAAATATGCAAAGGTATGACTGGGCAATCAAGATCACTGCGACTTGACATTGCAGAGGATTTATATCACAATTACATCGAGTTTAGTGCCTGTATTAATAAGGTTGGTGCTTAAGAAACTTCAACAGAGAGTAGACACAGTCTGTTTCTACTTTTGCATCATAACAATAAAAAAAGTAAAACAAAACATAAAAAAACCCCTATTTTGTGCATGGTGGTGATTGTTAAGAAACATTTTCTCTGAAATTACCTTTGTGCCCTGAGCACAGAGAAAATATGTATTGTATATATTGTATACAAATAAAAACAATATCTGTAGAGTATCTTTGTGAATGCACCTCAGAAAAAGCCAGGTTCACCTTCTGGTGGCTCAGTGCTGAGTGGGGGAAAGAGGTGCATAGTCATGCAGCTCAGATCTGAATGTGCCGCAATACCTGCATCAGAAAAACTGCTACCTCTGCCTCTGTTGGCAAAACTGAGACTGTTCCTATGCCAATTCTGGAAAAAAACTTCCATGAGCTTTCATATTGCAAAATCAAGCCCTAAATTCAATGCATACAGTGTGTTCTCACGCATGCGAACATGTGTGAATATATTCCCTCATGACAGATCTAGATGTCTCTTCCAGCCCTGCATAATGATCTCTTCATCTGCCGCAATCAGTAGAGGAGAGACAGGTGATGCCTCTGGCCCATCAGGGTTGAGCAGGACGGGTGAGTGACACACGCCAGATGCTGCACCCTGAGCTGGGCAGCAACTCCCCTGTAAATACATCATGGAGTAAAAATCACCACGTACATTCCAGCTGCTGCAGAGCATGTCACTGGAGTAGGCATGCGGTCACGTGTACAAATGCACACCAAATAGTATCCGTACGTGTGATTAATTAGCAGCTAACAGTGAATTCTTTGAGCCACGGGGGGAAAAAAAAGGAAAAGAGAAAAAGAAAATAACACCCTTAAAAGAAAGATTTAAACTAACTCTACAAGGTCTCTAAGGCTGAAAAACAGTGTTCTTCAGGACAGTGAAGGAGACAATGAAGTTAGTGATATGTGTCCCCCAAATTTTACTTTATTTTTTACTATATTTTTAATACTGGTTTTTATCATTAATGTCAGTTAATTCAGTGCCCATGGAAACTACCAAGCCAACAGCTCTTGAGCCTAGAGTCTTCTGTATCAATACAGACCCAGAGGTGTACCTCAAAAACATCCCTGAGAACACCATGGTAACAGTTGCCAAGCCCCCCAAGAAACAAAAAGCTTTTAGGGATATGGAGCACAAAGACTGACAAAATAAGAAAGAGGAACAGCATTATCTCTTAATTCATTTAGCCAAATTTGACCCATGTAAACCCATAAGTATTGCATTTGACTGAAAGTTAACTATGTGTTGAGTCCTACAGGCAGTTTGAAACATTGGAGAGTAAAGTAGAGAGCAGGAATAGGAAGACTATTAAAACCAATTTTATCATCTCATAGAGGAGGTACTGCACAATACAAGTTATGCACACAGGAAATGGAAAAAAATTGCAAGAAATGAGTCAACAAAAAATCTTTAGTATTTAGGAATATGAATACTGCCCATATGGGTATAGTATGAGAACACAGTATAGGAACAGTCATATTAGTTAGTTTGTGAACTAATTAATGCAAGATGTTCATCAGTAATTTGAAAGTTGATATAATATCACAGTAACAAATTTAGCAGGTAGCAGAGTAGCATGAAGACTGGTGAGTAAAGTGGGAAATGGGACATTCAGAAATACTTGAGCCCATTGCTAGCTCTCTTGGCATTCTCAAGAAGAAACAGCACATAAATGGAGCTGTTTGAAGAGTTGCACTTCTAGGACCAAGAAAGTCAGGTGATGGAAAAGGTTCTGTAAAGTATGACTCTACAAGGTGTCATGAGCAGATGCCATAGGCTCACATGAGACCACTACAGCTTTTAGCCTAGTTACTTGCAATCTCAGTCAGCTATGTAAGAACTAGAAGAAATGCCCGAAACTTCCCACAACCATCAGTTCCGTATCGCCAAGTAGTCCATGTTTTTTGCATACTTTTAGAAGGAAAACTGAAAATACTCTGGTGATCACAGTGGGAGAGCACTTCCTTTATTGTTGTCATAATTTTCTCTCTGAGGTAACTCAGCTGTTTCTTTCCAAGGCTTTGTAGTTCTTTATGTCACTCAATCCGCCTAAAATTCTGTAGTTAGAACCAAGGAAAACTATTTTTATATAATTGCAAATATGCAGTGAGATCATTAGTGAATATAGTTTCTGACCCTTGGTTTCCAGGATAATTTCCTATACCAGGACTGATTTCACAGGGTGCACAGAGGAGGCAAAACAATGTCAGCACTTTCACATGAATGTCTGTATTGCTCTGCATTAAGACACTAAAGTTTACTTGTGTCTTACACTGGACAGTTTTACTGTCAAATAACTGTCTATAAAAGAAACAGAATTCATACCAAGCCACATTAGCCCCGATTCCTCTAACACATACTTGAATGTGAGGTAAAATCCCTAAATTCAGCCCTCAATGAGAAATTCTCCAGGGAGCACAAGCTAGACCAATTGCCTCAATGCAACACCCGATCTCACATGTTGCTGTTACTCTCTGGGTTTTTCTACACAAGAAGTAAGTGTTCAGCCTTGGCAATTGTCAGGTCCTACCTTTGCTATTACATAGAGTCGTTGGTGAAGGGCTTGTACAAGGTGTGCTCTGTCTTTGGAGTATGTGTCCATTGGACTCAGTCTCCGAGAAATGGGCTGGTTTTGGTACCTCGCCCAGCATACTGCTACCTTTAAAATAGGCACAGATCTGTGTGGGCTGGGAAAGCTCCCTACCTCTCACAAGCAGGGACACAGAGGAGAAGTGAGATCTCATTGTCCCAGGTAAGATGTGTTAGTCTCTCACTGTGAGGAGCGGAGGGGTGTTCTTTAGCTGACTGCCTTAATTTGGACACCAGCCACAGAGTGAGTCCTTCCCTGTGTCGTGACTATTTGCTTACTACTCAGGAGAAATAAAATTATAGAGTATAAGATACATTTCTTATTTTAAGGCCTAATACCTACAGGTCTTCAACTTGTTTTCTTCTTCTTGGCCACCAACAAAAAATTTGCTGATGGGGGAAAGAGTGGTGCTGAGGCAGAACCCTCAGCCACGGCATTCCAGGCTGCATTGCAATATGAAAAATGAATTTACCAAACTAAAATAGGGAGAAAAAAGTTTGTTTAAATATGAATTTTAAATCTCGTACATGATGCAGAAAATATTGAAACATGCTCATTGGGCACTGAAACATCATTTTGGTGAAGGGCACGTATTTAGAACAATTTCTAGCACTTGCAATATGAAAATTACATTTTGGGGAAAACAAAATAGAGTCAATACTTAGTTTTAGTTCTGAGGATTTTCTGCTAAAATTATTTCAAATATTTCCAGGTCTTCAAAATTCAAAGTGTTCATTCTTTTCAGATTTTTCCCCATACTCTTGTAACCAATCAGCATTTGAAAACCAAGTAATATTCTTTCTATCATATGTTCGATATTTTTTTCTGCTTTATTACAGATTCTTAAAGAAAAAAGAAACAAACCCGGGTCTCTTTTCACTGTAGTTGTGACCCTTACCACGAAGATGAACGTTTCAGAGAGTTGGTATTGAAATGAGAACTTAGATCTCTGTTAGAAAGTAATCTAGTTCCTATGCAACTCCGTCAAAATGAGCAGTGAAGATACATTCACCTATTTACAACTTTGCATGTCACACTCGGCAGAAAGCCGAGGAGGAAATCAAGTTTACCTTCACGATAATTTGTTCTTTTGACGTGACTTTGCCATCGGCGTTGTTTTAATTTCTATTAATGCAAAAGCATCGCGGATCCCAGGATTTGAAATGATTCAAAAGTTTCTGGGAAGATTCCTCCACGGGAGCAACTGGATTTTCCTCCTTGAATTCATCAGACCTCCCAACTCCTGTGACTTTGGCGGTGGCATTTTCCGGCGGACGCCGGACTTGGTGGGATTTGGAGGGTGTTATCCCGACCCCTGCCTTTCCCGGAGCTCCACTTCTCCCCGACCAAGAGCGGGGCCCGACGAGGCAGGAGGAACGACGGAGGCATCCTCTCCGGGGGGCGCGGGGCAGCACCTGGCACAAGAGGCACGTGAAAAGAAATTAAATAAATGAAATTAAATGAAACGCAGCGGGAGATGGGTGAGCCCTCACCTCCCGCCGCCCCACATCTCCCTCGCACCCCGCAGCCGTCGCTAGGTCCCTGCGTGGCCGGGGAGGGCATCTTGTGCCGGAGCCCTCCCCCCGCCTCCCGCCCCGCAGCTCCCGGGCAGTCCCGGCTGCGGGGGGATCTCCCTGGCTTCCCCCGCCTTTGCCACCCGCCAGGCACGGGGCTGAAATTCCCCCGGCCGCCGCGGAGCCCCTCCGGCCCCAGCGCATTTGCGGGAGGGAACCACGCTGTAGAAAGGGCGGGAGGCAGGGAGAGAGGGCAGGGAGGGGGTGCCAGCTCAGCCCACTGCGGCCTCATCCCCCCTCACTCCTCCCACCAGTGCGTGGTGCCTCTTAACCCCCGGGAACCTCCCTCCCGCGAAGCATTGTCCACTTTGCAGAACACGAGTTGATGACGAAAAAAATACTTCTCGGCCGCGGCCAGCCATGAGCTGTTTGGATGTTATGTACCAAGTCTACGGTCCTCCCCAGCCCTACTTCGCAGCAGCCTACAGCCCCTATCACCAGGTAAGTGTGGGGGGCAGCGGTGAAGAGGCAGAGGGTGGGAGGGGTGTCATCTGGAGGATGGCCGTCTGGGGCCTCACCAAAAGGAAAAAGGGAAAAGGA